GAATAAAATTTCCCCGAAAAAATAAATGGAAAATTTTGCATGGATAAAAGTTGAAATAGGAGACAAAACGAACATGGGAAAGACTTCCTCATCCCCACCCTTGCCTTATGGACATCTCTACGGGCATCTCTACCCAAGACAACGACTCTAAATAAGAATACAAGCTAATTTACTTTATGTTTTTTCAGAAATAATAAATCAAAAACGTTGTTCTATTCTTACAAATTATAAATCAAAACCAAAAATGATAAGGTGACTCAGAAATTGAAAATAAAGCTCAAATTTTTAAATCTTTGTTGGTCTGCAAAAAGGATTTCGATTTCCAAAAATCAAAATAAATAATAAACCAAAAAAGTGACAATAATAAAACTAAAGAAGACAAAATCTAAATATCAAAGGTATGCAACAATGATGACGATCAGATTAAGAGTTGCCTGAAAGGCCAATATAATTATCTTGATATTCACACATTCAGAGGCAAAGTTTGAAAATGTAAAAATATTTATAATACAGAAAGAACATGAGCAGAACAACAAGATTTCAGTTGAGCCAGATGGCAATACCAAGAAGCCAATTTCTCCATTCGAGTAATTTTTTTTTTCTTCCGTAAGAAATCAAAGTTAAAATGCCGAAGAAATACCTGGAAGAATATCTCATGGAGGCTGGCACAAATTATTCCCATGCTCCTGTAACCTGCCCTTGCCATTTAAGTCAGCACAAAGATCATTCTCCATTCTTAACAGGGATTTCACGTCGCTCAGCAGAGTCCGTTGATCCTGTCCATCATCTCGTTCGCCCCCTTTCATTTCATCTTATCTTCTTCCAGTTTCGTGATCTGAATAAGAACTGAGAGTTCGTAATAAAAATAAACAAAAGATAGCAAAAGAGATTAAGCAAGTACATGTGGTTTTGACATGTAAGAGAAGTCGCTATTGAAAGACTCCTTTCATGCAAACCGAGATTTCCAGTATTTAGCATGAATAGGTATGAACATAAATAGAAAGGGCATCACTCAACTATTGTAATTTCTAAACTTTCAAAACATAAGTCCTTGTTATTATTCAGTTATCTAATAGTATCTACCCGCCCAATACTCGCATCAACCACTCAATGAGGCTAAAAAATGTCCATATCAACATTATCACATACTTGAAACCACACTATCCAATCGTTAAAAACAACGAAAATGATTATCTTATTAAAGTTCTAGGACTATAATAGGTATTTTAAGAGTTCATGGACTAAAATGGAATAAACCTAAAGAATAGGGACTAAAATATGGATATTTTGGAAGTTTAAGGACCAAATAAGAATTTAGACCCTTCTTTGTGCACCTAAAAGTTAACCATTATAAAAGCAGTCAAGTAAGTCTTCAAATTCTACACTCAGATTAAGGTTATAGAATCTGAGAGGCCAGAAGGGCCTCCAACATACACGTGTCAATTTAACATAAAAGCTTTACAGTCAGATGAAAGAAACGGCACCTTTCATCCCGTTTAATCTTCATCGAAGTACTTCTCCTCGGCATCATCATTGGCTTCCCTCAGCCAGTGGTCATCCAAGGTCTCATCATTGTCTATTTTTGAGTAATCTAAATGCTCGTTGTCTTCTCCCAACAAAAACTTCTGATGCATGATGTATGTGAATTGGTCCATCTGATCTTGCATATCTGCTTCAGATAAAGTTGCTCCATGATTAGACCCACCCTCCGCAGCTTGAGTATTGTCTGTTGCTGACCTTTCTTGCTGATTATCCATGGCGGTGGATACCTACGAGTGAAAGCATCACATATCAAACAACTGACTATAATGGACAAGCGATCCCTACATATCACAATATATTCAGATGTGTCATCCTGATCAACCCACAATGATCAGATGTACTTTTTCTTGATAAGAAACAAAGATGTGTATTAATCATAAAAAAGAAGACTACCAAAGGGACGGGAGTAGACATAACCCTCTCTCAAGGAGGTACAAAAGGAGAGCCTTACAATCATTAGTAATTATGAGAAGGCTTATAGTTATAAAATAATTTTTTGAGGTTAGTACACCACCACAAAGATCAGATGTACTAAACGTTACTGTCTAAAAGAACATACAAGCATTAAAACCATCTGTATTAGTTAAATAGAAAGGACCTAGGAATGCAAAAGGTTGGACAATGGACAAGGCAGAAACTAAAGTGCACACCATTTCAGTTTTATTATAGAAGTCATAATCAACGGGAGGAATGCAAAGAAGACTTGTATAAAAACATATTAAACAAGCCAATAAGAAGTAGATGTTAATCAAACCAATTCATAAAAAATATTTATCAAAAAATCGAAGGAAAAAAATAGAAAAGATGATACGAAATTACCTCCATGGAATGAGCTCCATTAGCAGCCTTGTCACCTTTCCCATCCTCCCCCACTTCCTCCTTCTCCTCCTCTTCTTCATCTTCCTCCTCCTCCTCCTCCTCCTCCTCTTCTTCTTCTTCTTCCTCTTCCCTTGGGTTTAGATCATTACCTACCAAGTCCCTTTCAGCGACACCTAATCTGCGTTGCTCTCCTCTGATCTTAGCAACCAACATTGCTTCCTCTGATCTCCTCATCAGAGTCTCAGACCATCGCTCCCCTGGTCTTGCCATACCTCTACCACTTGGATCTTGAAATTTCCCTACATACTCATGATGTAAAAAAGGCTGTCTATCCCTCATTGCATCCTCTGAAAAGTACTGGCCATCACATATCAATTTGTTCAGATACGCCCTCCTCCTATTTTTCACAACAACTGATCTAGAGTGTAGTTCATCTGATGTTGGACTCTTTATACTCCAAAGGTGCTTTAAATGCCAATTGATCTCGTAATCATCCTTAAGATTATCAAACTCATGGAGCTCATTGGATGTCAATTGTGATCCATATCGCTCTACATCAATCGAAGTTGGAGGAGCAACAAACATTAGAATATTTAAATGGTATGGAGAGAGGCAGCTTCCAAGGATCAAAATCAAAATAGTTACCAAAAAGGTTTCTATATATTACCAATCCAATTAATAGACTCCAAAAAGAGCCCAAATATATTTTTTTTTTCCTTCACCTTCAGTAGCAAAAAGTGTGGAAATCAGAGATATTGAATTGTTTCTTCTTCACGGCTTATAACGATTCAAAATACCTAAAAGAAAATTACTTCATAAAGATATAACAGTTGTGGTAATGAGTCAGAGTTTGTTCCTTCCTCTCAACCGTAGAACACTCAGAGACACCCAAAAAGACGTTAAAATTCATTATTGTTATATTTCTTACAATTGGTAAGAAATTGGGACTCATTACTTCATTCTTCAGCTCACAAAGACGACAACCAAAAAAAAATCAAAGTAGATTATAGAGCACACTGTTCTCATTAACTAATTTCATCTTCTCCTTCGTTACCCTAGAAGCTAAACTGAACCACAGGACTCGGCATTATGAACCTTTCCGTTAAATCTCCTCACTAAGACGCGTCGGATAATACAAGAACCATATAAAATATAAGCATGAACTACTAATTCTTGTCTCTCAAAATTTTTCTTTCGAATTCGATCAATTAAGCTAGGGCTCCTTAACAATAAACATACAACAGAAATCCACGCCAGAAATTGCAAAAATCCAAAGTTTCATAGAGAGAGAGAAACCTAGAAAGACGGCGACGTCACGAGAAAGGAGGTCCAGCAGAATGGCCTTGCGCTGAGACGGATTCGTGGCAGTGGATTGAAGCGCACGAGGAAAGTAAAGACCATCCTGCAACGAAAGCCTTTCCGACAAGCAATCCATGGCTTCGCAACTCAATCCTTTTGCCGCCGCTGCTTCCATTTTCTCTCGGCGTCGTCTCTTCCCCCGGTGAAAAATAAAAAGGTTCCTCGGTCGGCTCAGTCGGTGATGAGAATGGGGATGACACACGTGAGCAGCACGTGATAATAGAGTCCGAAGAAAATAACGTATTTCTATTTTCTATTCGGAGTGTGTTTGGCAACCCGCTTACCGTATCCCTTACACGGATTAAAGTTCCACTTTGATTGTGGTTTGAGTTAAGAAAACAAAAACCGTTTCCGGTTCGGTTTATCTTAAAAAAATGAATTTTCTCTTTGTAACAATTTTTACCTTAATTATTTTATTGCATCGACTATAAAATTTCTCAAAATTTATTAATTTTGAATAAATCAAAATTTACCTCACCATTAAGCTTAACCCATTATTTCAAAATAATAATAATAATAATGACGTAAAAATTTACAAATTTATATATTAAAAAACAACTCAAACAATGTTTTTTTTTAATTCAATTAATTTTGTATAGTATGAACACAAACTATAATAAATTTCTTAATGAATTTTTACATGAAAATTCATGGTAATGCAAAAATAGAAACTTTTATATTAAATTACATTTTAATCCTTTCAATTTTAAAATTTATTCTAAAAAAGGTCCTTCAACTTTGAAATTAATCTAATTATAAAAATAATTTTGAAAAATAAAATTTTCACCAAAATATCGAGGTTTCGACTTTAAAATAATGTCCATATCCATAAGTTTTTTATGAAAAAAAAATTATAAAATATTTAAACTAAACAGATACAATAGTGATATACCGTAAAATTATTTTAAGACAATATCCTATATTTGAATCGATTAAGACAAGATTAGCCCAAGATTAGCCCATCGTTTCACCACTGTTATTCTCTCATACGAACACACACCTACCCCTCTCACCAACCTCATCATTTCTTTTCCGTACGAATCAATATAAGGGTATCTTCTTTTAACTCGACAACGCTTAGTCGAAACAAGACTATTAAAATATGATATTTGAAGAATATATTTTAAGTTAGGATTTGATTAACAGTGTATTTTATCTTATTTATAGATATATATTTTTCGATCCCAATTCTATTTTTATTTCTCATTCTCCTAGTTCAAGACTTATAACACTTATATATTTTCCTAAAAGAAAGATTTACAGAATTCAAGAGAGTGTAAGAGAGCAACAAACATTGCTGAAATTACACTAAAACTTATTTATTATGTGTGGGGGAAGGAAAGGGAAAATGTCTCATAATTGGGTTGAATCAGTAAACTCAGTTCTGTTTTCTTCCATTCAAAGAAAACAACGACGACAACAACAACAGCTGCTTAGCTTCCTCTGTTATGAGGCAATCTCATCCACCTCAGAATTAAACACAAAACTTGGGAAGGTGGTTGTTATGTCCCTGTCCCCCACAAACAACAAAAGGATCAACAATTTGAAAGCCTAACCAAACATATATTATGCGTATATTATGCTTTTTCTTCTTTACCTCAAGTATGGAAGCGTCATCACTTTCAATAATGATGGATTCTTACACACAAAATTTTGCCATTCACTCTTGTCTATCTTCCCATCTTCCTTCACATCAGCCTCCATGAATGTCTGTACAAAATATTCCATCAGATAAAAAGCTGACAGCGACACGGTACGGAATTTAGTATCGAGTTCTTGAATGGAATACTTCGACATGGGCCAAACCGAATATTTCTTTCTTTCTTTCTTTCTTTCTTTCTAAATGATGATTCGGATATTGGGTCCTTTCTAGTTTGCTTATTTTTTGTAAATTGTAGCTACGTATTCCGAAAAAAAATGTAACAGTCCAAGCCCACCATTAGCAGATATTTCCCTTTATGGACTTTTCCCTTCGACCTTCTCCTCAAGGTTTTAAAACACGCCTGCTAGGGAGAGGTTTCCATACCCTTATAAAGAATTCTTCAACTGATGTGAGATCTCATAATCCACCCTCCTTCAGGGCTCAGCGTCTTTGCTGGCACACCACCTCGTGCGCACCCCCTTTAGGGCTCACCATCCTCATTGGTACATTGCCCAGATACCATTTGTAACAGCCCAAACCCAACGCTAGTAGATATTGTCCTCTTTGGGTTTTCCCTTTCAGGCTTCCACTTAAGGTTTTAAAATGGCTAGGGAGAGGTTTCCACACCCTTGTAAAGAATGCTTTGTTCTCCTCTCCAACCGATGTTGGGTAATAAAATAGTTTTAACAATAACTGATAGAAGAGTATGATTTGCTGAAAACTACAGGAAACTCAAACAACTAATGATCCTGAAATTTTATGGTACCTGACCTTATCAAGGATTATCTCTATTGTCTCATCAGCCAGCTTCATCTCAGATTCAGAAAGAAGGGCAATTAGCATCTGCTTCACCTGCCAAAGTCAACAAACAAAAAGCTCTGGTGGAGTTAACCATGTAAATCTTCCACAAAAACAGGCACAGATCTTCCATTCCCGGTTGCTTATCTACCGATTTCGATGGCGTGCCATATCATCCACTACCGTGTAGCATGTAAATGTTTGGGCAGGGTTTCGACAGAATCAAAATAAAGATAAATTTAAAACTTTTTCTCATCCTTGAACGTATCTAATAATCCATGCATCGTATGGATCGTATTCAACCAGAGGCATAGAGAACCTACCTCTTGCCGCTCAATGAATCCCGTGTTATCCACATCGTAAAGCTTAAACGAAACTGTAAGGTAAATAAATAACTAGCATCAGTCAAGCCACAAGATAGAATGATACATGTGAGGTATATATTATGCCATATCCTGCATACTTACATTCAATCTTGTCTTCCTCGGGAGCATTAGGATGAAAGACACTCAATGATCTTACAAAGTCACCAAAATCAATGAACCCTTGCTGCTGAACATCAAATAGATCAAAGAGCTGCATACAAAATGGATCCAACCTTAAAATATGCTATGAGAAAATATAGCCATCAAGTGGAACCATGAGTCATTAATAACAGAAGAAGTTAGATTCATTGCCAAAATATTACTAAAAATGAATTGCAATGTCAAAATCGATTACTCACTGTGTAATAACCCAAGCCCACCGCTAGTAAATATTATCCTCTTTGAGCTTTCCCTTTCGGGCTTCCCCTCAAGGTTTTTAAAACACATTTACTAGGGAAAGGTTTCCACACCCTTACAAATAATGATTCCTTCTCCTCCCCAATCGATGTGGGATCTCACAACCCACCCCCCTTCGGGGCTCAGCCTCCTCGCTGGCACATCGCTCGGTGTTTGGCTTTGATACCATTTGTAACAACCCAAGCCCACCGCTAGCAGATATTGTCCTCTTCGAGTTTTCCCTTTCGGGCTTGCCCTCAAGGTTTTTAAAACATGTATGCTAGGGAGAGGTTTCCACACCTTTATAAAGAATGCTTCGTTCTCCTCTCCAACTGATATGGGATCTCACACGCTAACACTTTTGGTAAGGAATTTAAGATAAAAGCTTATATATTTACCCGATTTGCTAACAGATTTTCCTTCTTTCTGTTATTAAAAATGGCCAGCTGAAATTCTTCCTGCATATAGAACAAGATCGTTATAGAGAACATCTTCAAATCACTGTTGCATAGAACACATACGTTTGATTAATCCAACTAAACCAGCAAAATCAATGGCATTATCCTCACTGCTATACATGTACACATTATTTAACCAAAACAATGTGAGTTCAAATAGTTCTTGCACAGACATGAAGAGAGGGATGATAACATGAACACCGTAATGATAAGTCATATCAGAAACAAATACCCTGTTTATTAAACCATCATCTATGATAGAACTGCTGATGCTCTTGTACAGCTCAAACAATGCTTCAACTTCACTGACACTAACTGTTGAAGCAAGTATAAAGAACAAGAAGAATCATGAATAATATATGAGAGAAATTCAGACCGACATGAACGTATCTCGATAGCTAGAAAGTATCGGGAGAGCATAGATTCAATAGAAATAGTCCAAAAGTTAGTCAATAAATCTAGAAACTCAGAACTCAGAAAACATAAACAAAGCACAACTTACAAGCTGTTTGTGAAGCAAGATTTATAGGATCTTCATATCCTGGAAATTGTCTGTTTTCTTTAGAAAAAATGCAGCCCATTTACTGAAGACGAAGATTGGTGTACTACAAAGCAATCCCAACGCAGCACCTTGACTTCACTACAATACTTGATAGACCCCAACACAAGCACACAACGAGCAAATCAACTTCACAAAAAAGTAAAAAAAAAAAAAAAAAAAAAAACAACTAAATGATCTGCATTAGCAAGTTTTCTGAAAATTACTTGTTTCAATTCTCAGAGACTGGGATATTTCAATAGAACAGAGTGAAGGAACCATAAAATGGTCATATAAACTAAAGTGCCTATGAATAATCCCACCAAACGATATCCCAACAACTCACAGAATGTGTATGAAAGAAAACAAAAATTCCCCCACTGTAAAGTGAAAGATGAGCATTAAACTGAACTATTTGGTCAACAATCGGACACAAAACAACAAGAGATCCATACTGTTCCTTCTCATTTCTTATTTCTTATCAACAAAGAATCAGAAAATGATGTCTAACCCCATAAAGAAACCAAATCCAATCATCACAAAACCATGAATTACATCAAATTTCGCAACAATCCACATAAAACAACAAATGCATTAAACAAACCCAACAAAGAAAACCCCACAAAAAAGAACAATCCACAAGATAAAAAAAAAAGCAACTCACCAGCAAAGAATTCAGCCCAAAATCCCCAAAAGCTCGACGGAAAAAGAAGTAAACGAAATAGATTGCAATCCAAGCGAGCTTTAGAGAATATGACAGGGTTTTATGCAACGATCGAAGGGCGGAAAATTGGAGGAGAAAGAAGGAGCTTCGCTACAAATTTCTCGTCATTTTTTCCAGAAAAGCAAATGGGAACAGCGATGATTGAAGTGCCATTTGGATTGGAGTGAGTGTGAAAAAGAGCGCCAAAGCAAAAACAAAGATTATAAAGAGAATTATGCGAGCGAGAGAGAGAGAGGAATTCATGGTCGAGTCAAAAAGGCAACGGAAAGCGAATGGGGCCTCGTGACTGAGCATGGGTTTCATAGAATATTCGATTAAGCTAGTTATTAAGTTAATTACGTAAATAAGCTAATTATTTAATTAATTATGTAATTAAGCTAATTATTTAATTGATTCTGTTTCATATTGCTCAATTTAATACATCATATACCCATCTAATAAACCCTATAAATAATTCAATTTATTGAGAAATTTTATGTCTTCATTTTGCCCTCATTTGGTGTGTCTAATTACATGTTTGCCCTTTACTTTTCAAGATTTAAAAATGTACTTTTTTTTTCTCTTTTTTTTTTATTTTTTATTTTTTATTACTAGAATATCTTAATTATTACATAATATTTTATGTCATAGGTGATGTGATGTTCCACATTGGTTGGGGAGGAGAACAAATCACCGTTTATAAGGGTGTGGAAATCTTCCCCTAGTAAACGTGTTTTAAAGCCTTGAGGGAAAGATCGAAAGGGAAAGCCCAAAGAGGACAATATCTACTAGCGGTGGATCTGGGTCGTTACAAATGGTATCAGAGCCAGTCATCGGACGATGTGCCGGCCTTCTCGCTCTTCCCCGAAGAGGGGTAGACACGAGGCGGTGTGTCAGTAAGGACGCTGGGCCCCAAAGGGGAGTGGATTTGGGGGCGGTCCCACATCGATTGGATAAAGGAACGAGTGCCAGCGAGGACGCTGGGCCCCGAAGGAGGGTGGATTGTGATGTCCCACATTGGTTGGGGAGGAGAAGAAAGGTGTGGAAACTTTCCCCTATTTCCCCTAGTAGACGCGTTTTAAAGCCTGCAAGGCTAAATTATATGGCAGAGATATATAAATAATATGGTTAAAGAAGAATAATACTCAAAAGGCTAGGGACTAAATCTTAATAAGTGATAGTGAGAATTAGTCCTAATAAGTGATAGTGAGAAATTATGCATGGAAGAGTCCCAGAATGTAAGACGAAGTCAACCCTCTTAAAGCAGACGGAGTAGGAACTACCGATCGAACTCTCCTAAGAGAGGGGGGTGAAAGAACAGGCACGGGAAATGGAGACCATGATGTTGTGCCAAAGATTTTACCGAAGACATGACCTTTGCATAGAGGTATAAATCATGGAATTGAGCTACTGCTGGGAGTTAAGTCGCCGATAGAGAACGCGTACCGAATGAAGCGCCCGAACTTGCAGAGTTACGAAAATAAATTGATGAATTATTGATCGTAGGGTTCATTTGGCCTACAAAAGCACCTTATGGAGCCATGATATAATTCCAAAAGAAGAAGGATGGTAGCCTTCACTTGTGCATCGACTACCGCGCCTTGAATAAGATAACCGTCTGGAATAAATACCCACTATCCATCATCACCGATCTATTCGACCGACTCTAGGTCTAGCTACTGTCAAGATGAACAAAAACTCAATATGCCACTTTGACTAGCCTAAGTTGTCCATAAAGCAAGCGCGTGGGCAAGAATGTATGGTAGAATTTGGCTTCCATTTTAAGCACAAGCTGGATAAAGTAAACTAGGTTACGTATCTCTTGAGTTAGAAGAGCGAGCATGCAGCCCTGTGTATGCTAGCTCATTTACAAGCAAGTAAGCTAAGTGGGGCAATACGAGAAAGTATTAGTGAACATCTAGCCGAAGACCTAGTTGCCCTGCCCATCATGCAAGTGGATAAGGAGGGAAAGACCTGTAAGTTTTTGATCGAGAACAACCTACTCCTTACCAAAGAAAACCGATTATACGTTTCCTATTTGGGTAATATGAGGAGACTTCTAATAAAGGAATGCCACGAAACTCTGTGGGCAAGCCACAATGGGTGGAAGCGAACCTATGTCATCCTTAAACGGTGATACTATTGGCCCAACCTCAAAGACGATGTAATACAACTCATGAAGACATGACTTGTCTGCCAACAAAACAATGTTGAATGGATGAAACTTGCAGGGTTACTAGAACCCCTACCAGTCCCCTCTCGACCACGGGAGAGTGTATCCCTTGACTATATCACTCACCTCCCCAAGGTAGGAGAATTTTAGTCCATATTAGTAATCGTTGGCAGGTTTTTCAAGTATGTCACATTCATCCCAACTCCCAAGTCGTATTAAGCTTAAACTAGAGCCCAACTATTCTTTAGGAACATTGTTAAACCGTGGGCCATTCCCGCGAGCATCATCAATGATGGAGACGACAGGTTTACAGGAACTTTCTAGACTAAGTTATTCAAGTTATTGGGGTCGAACCTAAACATCTCTTCAAGCTACAACTCCCAGACAGAAGAGAAAACTGAAAGATTTAACAGTATGCTTGAAGAGTTCTTCAGTCACTTTATCGACGCGCAACAGAAAAACTGGGTCCAGTGCTCGATGTTGCCTAGTTTAGCTTCAATTGTCAACAAATTTCATCAACGAGAAAATCCCCTTCAAAATAGTGTGTGGCAGACAACCACTCATGCCCCATATCATTGACCATCCTTATGCGGAGAAAAGTCCATAGGCTTATAACTTCACCCAAGAATGGAAGCAAACCTCCGCAGTAGCATATGCCTACCTAGAGAAAGCTTCGCAACGAATGAAGAAGTGGACAAATATAAAGCGCAGGCCATTGGAGTTTCAAGTCGGTGATAGAGTATAAATCAAGTTGAGACTAGAACAGTTTTGATTTCGAGGGAGTAGGGACCAAAGACTTGTGCAAAAATACGAAGGGCTCGTCTAAGTCATAGAAAAAGTTGGGAAAAATTCATGTCTCCTTCAACTACCAACATGGATGAAGATTCACCTTATCATCCATGTAAGTAGCTTGAAACCATACAACCTAGACGATGACAACCATCGATGTAATTAATGACATGACCCTCAGTCAAAATGAAAGACACGAGCAAGAAAGAAGTAGAATAGATCTTGACCAAGTGAACTCGTCATATCAGCTACCCCAGGTGAAATGTGCACGAATTCCTAGTGAAGTGGAAATGGCTCCTGAAGGTAGAAATTAGCTAAGAATGTTGACCATCTAAATTTAGCCACACTTCAGATAGAAGAGTTAAAAAAGGTGAGACAATTCATGGCATCGTCAACCAATTAAGTGGGAGAGGATGTCGCAATCATGCTTGTCCAAGGCATGTTGCCCATAGCTGCATGTCCGTTGAGAATGTCAAACCCTTTGCTTTGTATCACTTTAATGCTTTCTTTTATCTCTTTCAAGATGTATAGCTCATTTTTGTATTTATTAAGTGTATAAATTTCGGCAGAATCATGTCTACGCCTGGTAAACCTGAAATGTCTCAAACTATACTATAGAGAGATTCGACTAGTCATCAAAAAGTTATTAACCTAGAGCAATTTTAGGATAATTATTTAGTAGTTATTGATTTGAATAAGCTTAGGGGATAATTATTTAATAGTTATTGATTTGAATAAGTTTAGATAAACGGTTTGTCTTTGCATAGTAAAAATTGTTTGCAGTTGTTTAACTTGAGGAGAAAATTTAGAAACTTTATAAGAAAGTTGAGAAGATTAGTTGCACTTTCTCCCCAATACTCCCGAGATGTATACTATTTTTTTTTTAAAAAAAAAAGAAATTTGAAAAGCGTAAGTGCTTAAAGTTTCTTTCTTCAAAAGCTCTCTCCCCTCAAGTTGTTCTTCCACTTTAGTTATTTGTTTCGACATATTTTGATCGTGGGTCATTTCAAACATATGGTATCAGAGCTAGGATGCCAAAAAAAAAATGTCGTCCCCATACAAAGTCGCTAGAGGAGATGTGACACAATAAGGAGTGAAAGGAAGGGGAGTGTAGTGCACCAGTACTCCTTATTCACGAAGAATAACTACGCAGCATGGTCAATAAAGATGCGTGTTAACTTACAGGCATAGGGTGTGTGGGAAGCCATCGAGCATGGTGACGTTGAGGAGCGTAAGGATAGGGTGACTCTTGCCGCCATCTACCAAATAGTCCTAGAGGACGTCCTTTTCATGTTGGTAGAGAAGGACTCAGCAAATGCAGCATGGGAGACGCTGCAAACAATGCATGTGGGTGTGGAACGTGTCAAGGAAGCAAATTTGTAGACCTTGAAGAGTGAGTTATGTTGTTTTTGACTGAGCAAATCGGAGGAAATCATTGATGGAGGAAAAAGCCGAAGGAAAATGTTGGAAGAAGAAAATAACAGAAAAACACAAGAGAGACAGTATTTCAGATTCTGCGCTGAAGACCCGATGATTTAATCTGCGCTGAAGACCCGATGATCTTGTTTCTCATTCAATTGGGATATTTAAATAAAAATTATATCCTAAAAATGGAAAGGACTGTAAACTCAATTAAAGTCATTCCAAGTTGACGTGGACATTCCACTAAATTTAATTGTGTGGCTTTAACTAAAAAACAGTAACTAAAAGATAGGAATGACTTCTAACCTAAAATAGGGATTTGCAATCTCCTCCTAAAACCCTATGGTATATATCTACCTTATTGTTTGAACTCCGATCTTCGAGTGAAGTTCTTCAAACTTCACCCACGCTAGAGATTTGTTGAAAATGTTTTCAAGCTGTTCCTCTATTCGGATGAAATCAATCTTGACGAGCCCCCAATCTGCACATTCTCGGATGTAGTGGAATCTGATT